TTTTATCTACGTATTCATTAAGAAATACCATTGCCGGATTAGGAATGGCTTACATCATTTAAATGCACAGATTTGCAGACAAAGAAGCATTGCTAGATCGAAAAGAAAATGTGCTTTTTACTTATGATGAATTTGTTTTATAATTTGTTTACTCTGACTTAAGAAAATTACATATAATTATGTACCACGGTGTCACTATATGTATCATTTGATTAAATTTATTGATATTTTGAATACATGTAATACGAAAACTTAGGCTATGGGGACTAGAAAAAGTCGTTGAAATACAAACATCGGTAAATACAGACGATTTATAAATCCTGTTGTCACCCTTGGAAAAGATATTTTGGCCCGCATCAGGATTTTTTCTATCCCAATATCAGATTTCGCCGATACACTACATATATTTTTTGACATCACATACTATTATCCTGCATAAACATGCTCACATTACACACGACATTTTTCCTATTTGATTGATACTAAAGTTTGAAATATTTGTCCAAACAAGGTTATACTTCAAAACAATAGAGCAATATTTGAAATTTTTAAACATATTGTTTTTTTAGTCTTCCTCAGACTATTTCGAGTGTTCATATTGACCACAACACGGGAACTTCCATCACAAAAACAAAGCATTTTAAAAAGCAACCAATCACATATTTTTTCATCAATCTCGATACTGTTACCGTAGAAACCGTTTTATGACGAATTTAGTTTTCATGATATATAGTAGTAAAGCAAGATGCGTAGAGAAGTGATTGAAGTCAGACTGTAAAACACCAGAGAAGTTTCTAGCATTCAGCAAGTGCAATCTTACTTGAGGTAAATTGTTTCTAATTTATTTATCTAACGTCGTTTGATGTTTGATTATCTATTACTGATAAGTTATTATTTGTTTTATTGATGACGTATTAAAAAAAATCTTACTTAATATTATTATTATATTTTCAGTAAAAGACCCATTAATTAAAGAAATACCATCATCTTTTTTATTTTAAAATATTTATTTTTTATTTTTGGTATTTACATTGTACTGTACTTTCAGTAGCAAGTGCTTGTTTGTGGCGCTTTATAAATGTGTTTAAATGATAACCTAACAAAGCAAGTGTCGAGACCATGCTAAAAGTAACTTAAATTTCAAATAAGATGCGAAACATGTTGTTATTCATAGATTTTTTTATTTTCAAAATGGCAAAATATTTTAATAATGTTAAATAACGGGAAAATAATATGTTTCCAGAATTTCATGTTCGATTCTCAAAGAAGTTATAACATAGAATGACTTTTCTAAAAACACATGAATTATGGATGTTAATAAATTGTTCAAACCGTTGAGCATAATTTTGTGCATTCGCATTTAGATTTGAAGAAAATATACAATAAAAATTATTTTATACAAGTATTTTGGCACATTATGCCTTTGAAATGCTCTGAGATATGTTAAACACGTGATAACCAATGTTTTCAAAGTAAGTAAAAGCTTGTCAGATGTTAAACAGCTGTTTAAAGTGCGTCGGCTTTTCAACGTAGATGGCACTGACGTTTCATATTGAAGGTTCTATAATAACCGCCACAGGAACACATATGCAGATCTTTCAAAATTCAATACAGCTTAAGTCGGTGTTAGGGGACAGGGACGGTGAAATGATATTTTGAGTACTGTCTATGTACGGGCTCAATCATACCGAGTCTGCAATGTTCAATTTTGCGGTTTTGACGTTCTTTAGGAAGTCTTATTTCTCTCATTTTTAGACAATTAGCCCACGATTCAAGTTCGTAATGAATTTAATAATACGCTAATATAAAAGTCAAATAAGAAAATAAATTAATAGTAATGGGGCTATTGAACTGCAGATCTTCTTGATATGTTCAGTTATAGAAAATAAGAAGTAACGTTTATTGGAAAACGTATTATGCTATTGTTTTATACATTTCAGCTGTATTTCAAATAATAAATGATATGGATAGGGATCAGGAAAACATTACAAATCATCAAAATCTGAGTGGATTTTGGAACTTCACTGAAGACTTAAAACCAGCACCTGAACGGACATTTACGAATATTTCATTTGGTCTTGACTGCTGTATCACCGTCCTTAATGTTTCTACAATGTGCTTACTGTTGAGGCATAGAAACTGTATAGGTGGAAAAGGGTTCTTACAACAACTTGTTTTCTTATGTTCTACAGACATTCTCTCTGGAGTAGCAATGGCACTTCCTCATTTTGGCCACCTTTTCATTACCATTCATACTGATATATATTATGCCTTCTGTACCATTGGTCTTATTCTTCTCCAGTTATCAGTTACATTGTCAGAAAGTAAATTGCTTTATGATTAGCATACTCAGGTACAAGATTATGAAATATATAGACACACCGGTTACTATATGGCACAAACATGCTACATTTTTCATGATTATAGGTAACATTTTAATTTGCGTTGGAACTGTTTGCTCGTCAGTGCTTGTCATCACCTATCGCCATGGTTTAAAGCCCGTGGAATTCTGCAATAAAGTGAACAACACAGGAATGAATGAGTACAAATTTAAATATATAGTCGGTGGGGTTATCATGTTAGTAGTCTTCTTAGTAGGTACGAATATATCCACCGTCTTATGCATTCTTAAATTAAACAGAATGATTCAGCCTACCATAGCATCTTCATCTGAAGCAAACATATATTATGCAACAATAACTTTCATTCTTATTGTTTCTGTACTTAATCTTACAACAGTTCCTGGTATGCTCTTTTGGCTTGCGACAGTAAATATGTCACTTAATGTTTCAGCCGAGCTACAGAAACAATTAGCCGATTTATTTCTATAAATTCTTTATGTAATCCGTTCATCTATTGAACGGTCGACTCAATTCCGCTCTGCTGTCTTGAAAGATGGTAAAGAAATTTCGTCTCGCTTAAGATGCACTCCGAATACACAATAAATCAAGAAAGAAATTAAATAATAAGATAAATGACCGACAGATTTGTGTTCTTGCAGTTCGGTAAAAAAGATGATTAATGAGTTCGTTAACATGATTTGTCTTTTAATGCTTGACATGTTTATAATATAAAAACAACAGAAAAATACATGAAAAAAGGCCAAATCCTTTATAGTTTTACGGTTACCTCATGTACCTATTTGTACCTTATTGAAATATTACGCAGTTGTTCCGGAATTTATTTCAAATTTCATTAAATCTCTTATCGTGCAATATGCTTGATTATATGCAAAAAATCAGAAAGAGCAATACTTCTATAGGCATTTGAATTTGAGTAAAATGATCAAATCAAATTTCTAAAAATGCAATATTTTATTAACATGATGTGTTACATTAATTAATAAATGATTTTAAATGCTGTGTTTTCAATATAACTGATAAGTTGTTTGTTTTTTGTTGTTTATTTATTTATATATTTTTGACATCGTTAGAATTATCGGTTATTTAAGTCACAGGAAAAAACAAAACTGTGGTCATGAGTCTCCATCATACTATAAAGCTCTGATTTGTTGAAATTATTTATGCCGCTGAATTTAGAGATGAATGTCAGTTTTCGGAATAAATCGAATTATAATCAACGTAATTATAGCGCCTTTATCATTTCTCATTTTTTTCTAATCTTTTTGTGTGTGTTTTGTTCTTGTTTTTTGTTGTTCTGCTTTTGTCAAATTAAACATTTATTAGAAAAATGCTGGCAGTTGTTTTTCGTGAACTACTTTCAATTGGTTAACCTAAAAGTCGTGTTTTATACCCCCACAAGCCTCCGCCCTTTAGAGCAGTGCCCAGTCTGAATATTGTTACTACTCTGTAGAAAACAGCACACCACGTGATTGTATTTTCTTCCAGTATGTTTGACAATCATTAATAAAACATCTGACATCCCGAAGAACATATACAGCTTGATGTTAGGGTTTTTTTCAACCAACTGATAGTATTATGGTAACTAATCATAATTATATTCATCAGTTTATTATGATTGTATTGTAAAGGTTAATACCAGATTGTTAACAATATGTACAAAAACAAAGAGATTTTTTCACAAACAGGAAGAAAAACAGGAAAATCTCCCATCAAAATAAAGGTTTATATTTTAAAGCAGTTATGTTGAGAATTTCTCTAAAAAAAATTACAAAATAATTTTAATGATTATTCGTAAATATTATTGTCTCATGCACTCAGTCTGAACACCTTGACGACTATACATAGTCATCCGAACATATACGGAATGAGCCGGAAAAATGCAAATGGGTAACGACGCTGACAATGTCTTCAGACCTTATACTTCTATTGATACTGATATCTGCACGACATCATTTTCAAATTTTAATAGCGTTCATAGCATTCATTTTGTGAAAGCTTTAAGATCTGACACAAAATCTTTAAATTGACCTCAAAAACAAAACTTCACACCAAAAGTTAAACATTCACACTTTTGTCTTATTTTTGCAAAGTGGTCGCAAGTAGAAGTGCAAATAATGTTGTGGCTAGCCTTTGCACTGTTGACCGTAAAAACGGGTCTTGCTACCGAAAACCAAAAACTTGAGAATGCTTCAAAAGTCTTAGAAATGCTTTTTGACTGTGGATGGAGTGTTGAATCTCTAAGAAACAATATTAAAAGTAAGTGTTATATCTAACATCTATATCATTAGACTCATAATATAAATATAATTAAATTATAAATACAGTTAAAAATATATCATTTTTTATCGAAGAAATATGCACACAGATGTCGATTTTCTGTACTTCACACTACGCCGTTACGTTACGAAATTGCATAATTTAAATATTCAAACGACTATCTTTGAGGTGAAAAATACTTCGGTTATCCAGTCAGCCATGTATTTCAACCTAAAATCATATCAATTAAAAAAGAATATGCGGTATTGCTATCAGCGCCATTCAGGTTTTGTAGTTTGGTTTAAACATCTTAACTAGAATTTAAATGAAATTTCATTGTTTAATGGTACAAATGATGAATACAGCTGTTTTAATTATGCTATGAAGAACAAACTCGAACGTGTAAGTAAGTTACAAGTCACGGACACATACACGAGATGGGGACGGTCTACTTGTCCTCCGGGAGCCACGACTGTTTACGACGGGTTTACTGCTGGGTCGCATTACTCGCACAGTGGTGGATCAGCTAATCAAATTTGTTTGTCTAAGAAGCTAAAATATCACTACCACTCTAAAAAAACCAAAGTTGCCGAATACGAGACACATAACAGTATCTGGGACAAATTGAAGGAACATGATATACCATGTACTGCTTGTCTTATTCCTCGTACGAGCATCATCATGATTCCTAGAAGATATGATTGCCCAGACAACTTTAAGTTAGAATACGGGGGTTACCTGATGGCTGGTCATCATACTCATCAAGCAGGAACAGAATATTTATGTTTCGATGGTAATCCAACTTTTGTTTGTTTTGGGTTTTACGTCACATCGACACAGTATAGGTCATATCGCGACGTTCCAGCTTTACTGGTGGAGGAAGACCTCAGATGCCCTTCCGTGCATTATTTCAAGCACGAACGGGCACCTGAGTAGAACCACCGACGTTCCGTAAGCTAGCTGGATAGCTTCCTCACATGAAAGAATCCAAAGTCCCTGTTGGGATTCGAAATCACAGCGGTGAGGGGCAAGTGGTTTGAAGTCAACGACCTTAACCACTCGGCCACGGACGCCCCGGTAATCCAACTGCTGCAGAAAATTCAAGCCCTGTGAATCAACAATGAAAGGGGAATTCATTAACAATCGTATTTTCCAAGACTTTCTACTGCAGTATTTGCCAAAAACATATAAAAGCCACAAACCTATAAAAGCAGCCTTCATGTCCTTCGTGTTTTTGTTTAAATCGTTTTTATATAATTTCTACATTTTACCTTAAACTTACTCGGAAATGTCTATGAACTTCTTTTACATTTTTATGTAGGGTGATGCTCTTTTTGTCAGGCGCAAATTGTGCAGTCGCGAGAAAAGCGTTGATTTTTCATAGCAATGAACCTCGTCGTTTAAAGGTCTGTAAAAAATTAATAATTTTTCTTTTGTGCTTTCTTAAAATGGTGAATATTTTCATAGAGAGGAGAAAATTTTAATTTTGTTCTATATTCAGGAAAAAACACTGGTGAGTCTAATAACGGAGGTTTTATCTATATACTAAGAAACAACGATTTTTCCTTACAATCTCAGTCACAATTTTTCGGACATTTTATCAATATTCGGATTGGAATCTTGTACACAAAAGAAGGACTACACAGACCAAATATGGCATTTCAGTCTTACTTTTGCTAAATATTATAAATAAAAACAATGCTGGGGATTTCTGGTTTAGTTTATTTCATTATATCGCGGAAATGAAGACTTAAAATGAAAAACAATTTTGATTTAAACCACGATTAAAACATATTCTATTTTTGCAATTTGCAAGCATGTATCATTTTAGATAATAATATATATGTATCGGAAAACAAGGATATTTCACTAATACAAATTCATTTGTAGAATAGAGTATTGTCTTTTTTATTTCAGTTATATAATCTTTTGATATATGGTATAAGGTGTGAATGATTAAAGTAGATTCAAAAGATATTCAATTGGTAATGCTGCATTTAAGATACGCAAGTTCTACCATATCTAGATTTAGTGCAAAAAATGACGTGAACGCATTTTCCTATACAAGTCTATGTCAGCATAGATGCCTTTTGGCGACCACAACAACCCCACCGCCCTTGCGAACAGTGCTAACTTTGATATTGTTATAACTCAGTAAAAACAATCCACGTGATTGTGTATCAAACTTTTTGTCACATTTCCTTTTGATATGTTTTTCGCATTTGAATTAATAAACATCTGACATCCCAAAGGGCACATGTACAGCGTGAGGATATTTTCTTTCAACCAACTTATAGTATCATGTTAACAAATGTTTATTGTGATTGTATTGAAAGGGTTTATATCAATTATCAACAATATGCACAAAACAAAGAGAATTTTCCACAAACAGGAAGAAAACAAAATAACTCCCTTACATAGATTTAAGCAGATGTGTTGCGTATTTCTTTACAAATGTTTGAAAACTTTTTTTTTTAGGGAATTTTAGATAAAGTTATTGTCTCAAACACTCACCCGGAACACATCGACGATTGTTCGTAGTCATCCGAAGATTGCCGGAATCATCAGAAAACAATGCTAAATGATTAACGACGCTAACATTGTCTTTGGGACTTATATTCTTATTGATACTATATATTGAACTTTAAATAATGTTCATAGCGCATTCATTTTGTAAAAAACAACAGTTTTAAAAAATTAAATGTACTCAATCAGACTTAAGTGATTTTTTAAAGGTCCCAGCATACATTCCTGTCAAAGTTCTAAATATTTTGTGTTTGAAGCGTAAATATATCTACATATATTGAACGAAATTAAGACGCCAACAGAATCACCGAGTAGTTGTATATCAAGCCATGTGACTAAAACAAAGCCTGAAAGTTACAATACCAGATATTGTGGATATTGTTTGAAGCCATTCATTTGACATGTTCTTAAAACAAAAACATTTTCAGAGTTCACTATGGCAACTATTGTGAAGTATTAATGCTCTTACATGACCCACGTGGGTCAAGTTAGGAAACCACCATTTTATTGTTTATAAGAAGAAAAGTTTAGTTCTATGACTGCCTAGTGTTTTTATTTTGAGGACATTTACAGAACATTGAATGCAAAAATCAAACTAAGAGGTAAAAATTGTGCCTGTGTTAGCCTATAAGATCTGACACGGAATCTTTAAATCGTCCTAAAAACAAGCTTTTACACAAAAAGTAAAGCATTTACGCATCTGTCTTATTGCAAAAGAATCGCAAGTGGAAGTGTCAATAATGTTGTGGCTAACTTTTGCACTGTTGACGATAAAGACGGTACAAGTTACCGAAACTCAAAATCTTGAGAATGCTGCAAAGATCTTGGAAATGCTTATTGACTGTGGAGGGAGTGTTGCATCTCTAAGAAACGATCTTAAAAGTAAGTGTTGTATATAACATTTATATTATAAATATAAAAATAAATTATATAGACAGTTAAACATATCATTTTCAACTGAAGAAATATACAGATATTATCCACTCAAACGGGGCATTTATATTTATTTAAATATACGGTATTGTTATGAACGTTATTCTTCTTTCGTATTTTTGTTTGTAAATATTTAAAATTCCACTTTATAATGATACAAATGATGAATAGAACTGTTTGAATTAAAGCTGTCAAGGACACACTCGAAGGTCTACGTAGACGGCAAGCCACTGACACCTACACGAGATGGGGGCGGTCTTCTTGTCCTCATGGAGCCACGACTGTTTACGACGGATTTACTGCTGGGTCGTATTACACGCAAACAGGAGCAGCAACTAATCATATGTGTTTGTCTAAGAAACCAAAATATCACTATCACTCTAAAAAGCCGAGGTATACGACATTTATATATGGTGCCGAATACGAAACTCATGATAGTATTTGGGACAAATTGGTGAACCATGACATCCCATGTGTTGTTTGTCATGTTCCTCGTTCGAGCATTATCATGATTCCTGGACGAGACGATTGCCCAGACAACTTCAAATTAGAATACAGGGGTTACTTGATGGCTGGTAGGTATAAACATCAAGCAGGAACAGAATATTTATGCTTCGACGGTAATTCAATCGCAGCCGAATATTCAAGCCAAGCTAATCGAGATGGAGCTTTGTTTTACTTTGTTGAAGCGGTATGTGGTTCATTGAAATGTCGGCCTTATGAATCGGGGACACAGATCACGTGCGCTGTATGCTCGTACTCTCCTTAAAAACGCTTTAAAGAGTCACCACTAAGGTTTTGTACTGGACTCGAACGGAAAATTTTAGTGATTTATATTTCTGTATTGCAGCTTTTCTGACACTTTTATCATACTCAGAACACAAAAGCAAACATACACTAATTGGATATTGCATAAAGGTTTTAACACGCTAATAAAGATTAACCAATGCATGCAAACAAAAATAACAGATATTAATTTATTTCTTGACAACTGAACAATGTCGTTGTAATATATCGTATTCAACCAAACAAATACCGTTATAGTGAAAATTCACATACAAAGTTTGTTTGTCTTGCCCAACACTTGTGTTCTTATTTTGGCGGTCGGTCTATCTGACCGGTTTTCTTGGATAACTTACCACTAATCACCAATTTCTCTGCATGTGGCCGGACACTAATTCCTAACGATTTCCCTATCTCTCAGGCTGTGGTTTTTGCCATGACCAGCCTCTTTACCAAATTTTAGTACTGAAGACACATGTTTTCTTCCTTTGCACTTTAACCTTCCATCAACTGACTCAAAATATGTTAGAGACGTATATGACAAACTCCTATACTAAATCTCTGTGCAGTAGACCTAAACCTTCTCCAGTTGTTCGATGGACAAGGTCTTTGTGGACATGGTCATTTGGACCTTTGACAAAGTGATCTCAAAACAAGTATGGGTCATCGACTTGTTTGACAAGGTGTACTCAATTGACGGACATGATAGAAAATGAATACAAGGGACCGATCCTGTTAATATTTTTGTTGGAAAGGCAGTGTCCTTTTGTATTGTTACGAAACAAAATGACATTGTGTTTGTTTTTATTCTGTTTACTGTTTCCTAGCCCTAATATTTCCTTTGCAATGGCCAAGACTGGCACACCGACGCTGTCCAATATACCCCCAATTGAGACATAATTACTTACGTATGCAGTGTTAACGCTCGTCTGTTCAAAAAGACTCAATAGTCGAAAAAAACATTACAGTTATATAAAGTTATACATATTTTTACATTTCCCATGACATTACTAATAATAGTGATATAGCTTTTAATTTAAAGTATGATTTAAAATAGCGAATCATTGGTGTGGGGGAGAATATCCGCTAAATGTATATGCATCTTGATGACATGCTTTTATCTGAATATTACTCATCCATGTACATTGTATGTTGATTTGATTCTAATATATACATATTAGATTTGTATTGGTTTACATTCAGAAATGCAAAATTTAAAATATATGTAAGCTAGTGTAAGGGAAAGTATTGAAGATTGTTAATGCACAAATTGTATAATTGTTTGTGCAAAATGACAAGTTATTGTGTAAAAGTTAATATTTAATATATGCTTTATAATATCGTCAAATTATTAATCGTTTATGTCTTTATATATACACATGCAAAGTGAAAACTTACTGTACATTGCATTATTATATTAATGTAATATATTCTGTGTGATGATTAAAATCCATTGCATACGAATGTTGTTTACAGAAATTTTAGAAAAACGTTGATGTCCTAATCAGACAATAAAGATATGTACATATATAACATATATATGTTGGAAAATGGCTAATGGTTTCTATTTTAACTGATTAAAAACTGAATTAAACTATATTGTATTCATTGCGTTTCATGTCAAAACCGAATGATACATCTCATGTTAACTTGCTTGGTCATCATTTTTAATTGAAAGACAGTAACTCTAACCTGGTTTCATGAATAACAACGGATCTCAAAAGAAAACCCATCTAAATGGAAATACAGGTGGGGGAAATCCCGAAATCCGTAATGTATATATAGGTAAACTGGAAATATCTTTCAAAAAGATACACGGCCGAAGTATAACTGTTTAATATGCAAAAGTATGTTATTTTTAAGTTTTCAATACAAAAAGAAATGCAAGTAATGCTTTCATAACAATGACATGATAATTATTTCTTATAGGTATAAAGAAAATGACCCTTTTGAAAACATTGAATTTAAATTATAGCATATTGATGTTGATGATTTTTCAAAGAAAAACAACTTCAATTAAAGATGTACTTTTTACTTATAATCATTAACAAATTAACCTAAATGAATTATCCTCATTCCTGTACATTTTATTTTAGAACTATTCTTTACATTTAATAAAATAGTGACAAAACTTTCCTTTACATTTTATCAATCCTAAAAATTATTTTAAAATGGCAAGAATTATCCTTTACATATTTTAGAATGGTTAGAACTGTCCTTTACATTTTAATGTAGAATAAGCAACGTACTTCACCGATTTCATTAGTAATTTTTAAAATGACAAATGAAAATTCCTCTTATATTCAGTCCTTTCCTGTTAATTCTACAGGAAGTCAAACCAATAACAGACGCACTTTGTTTGAAAAAGAAATAAACTAATATTAATTTTGTGCCGCTACCTGTAATTAAAGGCAAAAAAAAATGTTTTATACCTTTAGTTATGAACAGATTATATGATGTACTTCACATAATTGCAAAACAATAACAAACTAGAAATATGTCCATAGGACACGGGTGCCCCCACACTGCATTGTTTTGTCAATCTTATGACTCTTGGTCTAATATTTTGGACAACAAGTATTATAGTCAACTTTTATCAAGTCCATTCCATGATAGAGTCTCGATTGTATTTCACTTTAATTTATATGATTTGTGCAAGTTTTATTTTTCATTTACTTAAAGGCATACGTATTCTATTTCTGTTGGAATATATTTGAATTCATTGGTTATACTTTATAACGTTTGAATGATTTATAAGTATCTAAAGAAATCCAATAGGTCTACGCTACCCCGATTCGGTGCAAAAAATGATTTAAACGCATTTTCCTATACAAGTCTCTTCGACATAGATGTTTATTTGCCCAGTCCATACCATGTGATGGTTTTTCCAACTTTTTGTCACATTTTTCTTTGATATACTTTCTCTAAATACTTTTGATAACCATATAAATAAACATTTGACATCCCCTAGGAAAACATAGAGCGTGATGCTATCTATATATGTTTTCGTATGGTATAATGATAACATACAATTTATTTTATAACTTTATTGTGATTGTATTGTACGCTGATATTGTACTAATTTTGTAACTATATCTGCACAAAATCATTTCGTAATTTGAATGGCGTTTATCGTATAATCATAGCATAATATCTTTCATTTGGTAAAAACCTGATGGTCTGACACAAAATCTATAAATTGTCCTAAAAACACAAAAGATTTTACATAAAGTAAATCGTTTGCGTTTTGTCTTATTCTTGCAAGTTGAAATGTAGATAATGTTGTGAATAGCTTTTAAATTCTTGACAATAAAAACGGCACTAGTTATCGAAAACCAAAACCTTGAGAATTCTTCAAACATTCTAGAAAATGCTTTTTAACTTTTGAGGGAATGTTGCAATATCTAAATTATAAACTGCATATGCTTTAACGCAAGTATGTGGAGATTTTTTCATCCAAACGGGCCATTTATATTTATTAAATTTATTGTTACAAACGTCATTCTTCTTTTGTATTCTTGTTTGCAGATATTTCAATTTTCCACTGTTTAATGATACAAGTGATTTATTATATAACTTTTTGAATTTAAGCTATTAAGGACAAACTAGAACGTTTTAGTAAACAACAAGCCACTGTCACATACACGAGATGGGGACGGTCTTCTTGTCCTCCTGGAGTTACGACTGTTTACGACAGATATACTGCTGGGTCGCATTAGACGCACTCTTGTGCAGCAGCTAATCATATGTGTTTGTCTAAGAAGCCAAAATATCACTACCACTATAAAGGCACTAATATATGGTGCCGAATACAAAACTTTTGACAGCATTTTGGGACAAATTAGCAAGACATGGAATTCCATGTGTTGTTTGTCATATTCCACGTGCAAGCATCATCATGATTCCTAGAAGAGATGATTGCCCAGACAACTTCAAGATAGAATACAGGGGTTAATTGATAGCTAGATATCATAGCCATTAGGTATAAGAACCGAATACATATATGCCTCGACGGTAATCAAACTGCTGCAAAATATTCAAGCCCATTGAATAACAGTTGGGCCTTGTTTTACTTTGTTAAAACGGTATATGGTTCATTGAAATGGCGGCCTTATGAATCGGGAAAACAGATCACTTGTGCTGTGTGCTCGAACTCTCCCTAAAAGGCTTAAAAGAGCCACCACGGAGGACTTTTGACTGGACCGGAAATATTTTATCGAGATATATGTATCATTTGATGTAACTATGGGCCAATAACTTCTCACTGTTATAGATTTTTGATCATTTGGGGTGTTTTTCCTGAATACATATTTTAATTTAATAATATCTTTTTTGCTCTTTGAATACAATTTTAGAACATTATTAACACAGAACAACATTTTTTAACAAAGGGCAAAAGGGTTGAACAACAAGTTCTAGCAACATTAGTAACTGTCCTTCCCTTAAGCATTATAAGATATAGAAACCAAAACATCTTTAAACACTATACACATGAGCAATTACAAATATTAAGGCGGTTACAAAAAACAAAGTAGCAATAGAATTCGACATCAAATTTAAAAGAAAAAAAATTGCTTATCAATTTTTTAAATATAAAAAATAACAGTAATTTTCCTGCACTTGCAGTATGTGATGGCTTGTATGGCTGTCAAAATATGTCATTTATAAGGGGAATTAGAAGTCAGAATTAAAATTGGAACAGTGATTGTTATTTTTACATGTACTTATTTCTTATTATTTAAATCTATGTGTTTTTTTATATATTTTTGAACCTCATGAAATAAAAAAGAGTTTTCCTCGACTGATAAATTTTCTTTTCCATAAAGGAGAGTACTTGTACTTAATGGATGAAAAGGGCGAGTGGAAGTGAAAAGTTGGAGTCTTTGAACACCATAAAGTTTACAATTAAAAAAGAAATGTTCAGCATCTTCCTCGATATGACAAAACTCACAAACAGGGGAGTTTGCTAAGTGATTTCTATACAGATCATCATTTAAATTACTACATCTTTTTCTTCAACGTGCATGGTAAACAGATATTAATCTTTCTCCAATTAAATAAAAAGGAAAGCGTTTAAACGCTTTTAACTCAAATTGGGCAAAGAATTGCTGAGAAATACGTTTTTCAATTCAAAACTACAGCAATATCTTATGCATACCTCGCCGTTTTAACTAAAGCCAGAGCCCCTCCCCCTTCGCTAGTTTATCTATGTAAGAAAATAATATTTTAAAGGCTTTCTTTGGGGTGAACATCGGTGGAGTTCCGCTAGCAGAATATACAAAATAAATATGTTCTGCACTAGGTAGTAAAAAGAACACGATATGTCGTAAAAATAAGTGAAATTCTAAAAGACTTTGTTTATTTTCCTTTGCGCCGACTTGCAACAATAACTATTGTACATGTTTAATGTAAAAAAATCTATACAGTCATATTTCGTGTACGTCAAGTAATGATCCTTTGCTTTAAAAGAATTTGTTGGTAATCGCTTAAATATTTGTTACCTAAAACATAAAATCAAGTCATCAGAATCTAGTATATCTCTTGCTTTCTATTTAAAGGAAACAAAGTTCGCCTCCCTTGATATAAATAAAAGCCATTATGGACAATCATGTTTGGTAATACGACTATGAAAGACGATGATTTATTCTTTATAATCGTGTCTTTCTATTTGAATGCTTCTCGAACGGCAAATGTGTGATGGCAACTTTTCTCACCTTTCCAACACATTAGTAAATAGAGACTCATTGAATTTAGCATTAAGGTTTAACATACGCTAATAAACATTTACCATGTAATCAAGTATTTATCTTTTTCTTGATATGATTGAGCAATTGCGTTTTGTTATATCGTTTTCAACCTCACAGACACCGTCGGATATTACACAGTGCTAAATCTGCAAATAAGCCCAAATTCGTCCAATACTAAGGGAAAGCAAAGTAAGAGGGTATTTGCTGGTCCTTCGCAATACATCACCCTGTTAAGGTTACATCAATTTCAATGCCTGAATCTGAAATATATGAATTCTTCCAGATGCTACAGTAGGAGGGTTATGTTCAGTATTTAATCCTATTTCGTCTACGTTATATACCCTTTCTGGACGATCATCAAAGCTGTACGTATGCTGCAGTTCTTTGAAATAATAATCAATGCACTGCTTGGTTGTTAAATTTGCACTAAAGGTCTAGGTACATTGAGCAAGGATATCAAGTTCCGGACACCCAGTCTTAAAATGTGGATATCATCAAATAATGTCAAAGAGCATCAGCATATTTTG